AGCGCCCAGCATCTCAATACATTGAAAGGACGTCCCAAGCGAGACCGCGATTCCTGGGTGAATTGCAAGGAAGTCTCGAGCAGAAGAGCTTATTACTTCTCAAGAATAATTATTGTTGGGACCCCTGGTGCACGACCCCCCCGCCGCGCCTAGGCCGCAGCCTCATTTTCATCATTTTCGTGAGGAAGTCTCAGGCAAAACGGGTTGGTCCGGATCCGGTTGTGTTGTTACGATCGGTTTTCCCTTGCAAGAAATAAGCTAAAGTGGACATTTCTTGTTCTAACATAACCAAACTTCAAGAATCCCTTGCAAAAAATAAGGTAAAGTGGACATTCGCGCGCGCAAGACGAAATCCTTCCAAAACCTTAGTTTTCGTAGCGATTTTAACATAAAAACATCAAAAAACCAATGGTTTTTCAAAAAAAATTGACAACATTTCATCCCGCGCGCTCTTGCGGATTCGTAGGAAACCCAACACTTTTTAATCATTTCTGTCAAACGGGCTTTTGCGAGCAACTTTTTCGAACTTCTGCAACAACGGTTGCGCACCTGCCAGGGCCATCATCCCTGTCAAATAATACCATGCGGGACACATTCGTTTTTTCTTCGCGCGCGCACGCCGTCGTCGTCGGCCGCGGGGCCCTGAATAGTAGCCACGGTCGTCCGCATGCCACGAAGTGAAGTGTCCGAACGTCATAGGGCGGGAAGCTGGGTGTGGGTGGTGGCGAAGAGTCGTTTGGAAATTTGGTAGAGCTTGAACCGGCCCCCCCACAAAGTGGGGGTATTGCCCGCCTCCTATGAAAACCCTGGCACTGGTGAGAACGGAGTGTCCCCACGTGCTAGTAATTGTTGTTGTTGTTGTTGAACATTATTTATTCTAAAGAATAATTATTGTTGGGCCCCCTGGTGCGCGCCCCCCCTGCGCCGCCTAGGCCGCAGCTACATTTTCATCATTTTCGTGAGGAAGCCTCAGAAAAGAGGGTGTGTACAGGATCCGGTTGTTTTGTTGTAATCCGCTTTCCCTTGCAAAAAACAATAGAAAATGACATTTCTTGTTCTAATATAATCAAATTTCAAGAATCCCTTGCAAAAAATAAGGTAAAGTGGACATTCGCGCGCGCAAGACGAAATCCTTCCAAAACCTTAGTGTTCGCAGCGATTTTAACATAAAAACATCAAAAAACCAATGGTTTTTCAACAAAAAATTGTCAAAATCTCATCCCGCGCGCTCTTGCGGATTCGTAGGAAACCCAACACTTTTTAAACATTTCTGTCAAACGGGCTTTTGCGAGCAACTTTTTCGAACTTCTGCGACAACGGTTGCGCACCTGCCAGGGCCATCATCCCTGTCAAATAATACCATGCGGGACACATTCGTTTTTTCTTCGCGCGCGCACGCCGTCGTCGTCGGCCGCGGGGCCCTGAATAGTAGCCACGGTCGTCCGCATGCCACGAAGTGAAGTGTCCGAACGTCATAGGGCGGGAAGCTGGGTGTGGGTGGTGGCGAAGAGTCGTTTGGAAATTTGGTAGAGCTTGAACCGGCCCCCCCACAAAGTGGGGGTATTGCCCGCCTCCTATGAAAATCCTGGCACTGGTGAGAACGGAGTGTCCCCACGTGCTAGTAATTGTTGTTGTTGTTGTTGTTGTTGTTGTTGTTGTGGTGGTTGTGGTTGTGGTGGTTGTTGTTGTTGTAAGCCAGGGGCCAGGGACACAGTTTGAGACCCAGATTTTCCCTGATGCCATCAGGTGCGAGCACTGTGGGAGGGCAACTTCAATTGAATCATACAACGGGCGCCGGAGTGGGAATCAACAGTGCGTCTTTTTCAGAAGAGAGGTTTCAGCAATCATTTGAAGACTGTTCGCTCTGCGACGGCCGCGTGCCGTTCGATAGGTATACCCCAAGGCTCTCGATACCCACCTTCTTCGTGTTTGGTCGTGCGTATAGAGGTTCGCCAGCGTGGACCCCACACATTGTGTTTCTAGCAATCCATGGTGAGCAGTCGACGTAGGGCAATCCATGTGGTGCTATCTACGTCGTGCAATCTAGGTAGTACGACGTATGTTGTGTAAGATATGTTGTGCAATCAATGTGCTGTCCTAGTTGAAGATGAGAGGATGTGGACCAATCTATTTTGTGCAAGCTATGTTGTGCATTCTTTGTGGTGCAATCTACGTTCTGCAATACATGTTGTGCTATTTATGTTGCGCAACATATCGAAGAGGCCTACGGCGAATCACCGCCGCCTTTTTGAAAGCGCTTATGTGGCCGAACGTTGAGGTCAGACCTGCCAAGCTATCGGACCATGTGTTCCCTGAATCGGTTTGGAAAGCCTTCGGGGAACACGTGGGCATCTTGAAGGTCATCTTGGCCGCCTGGAGGCTATTTTGACCCTTTCGCGCCTTCTTGGAGGACGTCTTGGAGGGCTCTTGGGCCGTCTTGGAGGCCATCTTGAGCGTCTTGGAGGCCTCTTCGGCAGTCTTGGGGCCTCTTGGGGCTGTCTCGGGCCTCTTGGGAGATCTTTGGGGGCACTTGGGCCGCTTCGGGCCGTCGGAAGGCCGACAAAAAAACAAATGCCACAATCCTTTGAACAACTCATGGGAAATCAATGATTCTGGCCTTTTCGGGCCTTCCTGGAGGCCCTTTTGGAGGCCTCTTGGGCCGTCTTGGGCCCTCTTAGTGCCATCTTCGGCCATCTTGGTGGGCCCCTGGCCCGTCCGACGCCGTCGGACGCCGTTTGGGGGGCCTCTCTGTGCCGACTTGGGGCCCTCTTGGAATGCTTCAGGGCCGTCTTGGAGGCCATCTTGGGCGTCTTAAAAGCTTCCTGGGCCGTCTTGGGGGCCTCTTGGGGCCGTCTTGGGGGCCTCTTGGGCCGTTCTAGGGCCATCTTGGAGGCCTCTTGGGCGATCTTTGGGCGATCTTTGGGGGCTCTTGGGCCGTATCGGGCCGTCGGAAGGTCGAAACGAAGCAAATGTCAAAATCCTTCGGCAACGTATGGAGAATCCGTGTTTTTGGCCTTCTCTGGCCTCCCTGGAGGCCCTCTTGGAGGCCTCTTGGGCCGTCTTGGGCCAGCTTCGAGCCACTTGGTGGGCTCCTGGCCCGTCTGACGCCGTCTTAAGCCGTTTGGGTGGCCTTTCTGCGCCGACTTGGGGCCTTCTCGGGGTGCTCCAGGGCCGTCGTAGAGGTGCCCTCTTGGAGCCGTCTTGGGGGCCTCTTGGGCAGTCCTGAGGCCATTTTGGAGGCCTCTTGGGCGCTGTGGGGGCGATCTCGGGGGCCTCTTGGGCCGTCTTGGGTCGTCGGAAAGCCGCGAAGAAGCGAATTTTCCTAAATCCATCAAAAACCAAAGGATCATCAATGATTTTAGCCTCTTCGGGCTCTCCTGGAGGTCCTCTTGTTGGGCCAACTTAGGGGAACAAAGGCATCGACGGATGCGTTTTGAGATCCTTCCCGGGACCCCGGCGGGTCGGGCCGAAGCCACAGGGGGAGTTCTTTGGGAAAAACAACCAAAACCGAAATCGCCTAGCACGCCAGGCACCCCTGCGATGAATCGACAGGGGGCGGCGGATCTTGCGCAACATATCTATTGGCCTTCGGCCCATCCTGCCACCGTGCCGGGGTTGTGAGTCTGAGGCTTCGTGCACGTTCGTTGGTATCTCGTGCGAGGCATCGTGGCGGCCTCATGGAGGTAGTTTTGATGCCTCTGGGGGTCTTTTTGGGGACCTCTTGGGCCCCTCTTGGGGCTCCTCCTCCTCCTCCTCCTCCTCCTCCTCCTCCTCCTCCTCCTCCTCCTCCTCCTCCCCCTCCTCCTCCTCCTCCTCCTCCTCCTCCCCCCTCTCTTCATCTTTTTCTTACCGTTCCTTCCGTCCTCCCCCTCCCCCTCTATCTCGTTCCCCTCGCCCTTCCCCTCCCAACCTCCCCCTCCCATTATCCTTCCTCGCCCCCTCGCTCCCCATCTTTTCCCCATCCTCCCATCCTCGCCCTTCTCGGCCAGTTCATGCTCTATTTCATCCACTCTTTGTATGTGTGTGATTGTTGGTTTTGTTCTTCTTCTTCTTATCATATTTATTGTTGCCATCGGCTGAAGATCATAATTATTAGTGCTACGATTACCATTCTTTTAAGCATTAGTATGATGAGTATGATTGTGATTATTAGAGTCATCATCAAGGCACTTCGGTGCCCGGTTCCGGCGCCGCTCCGTTCCGCTCCATTCCGCTCCGTGCTCGTATTCCCGCCCACCCGCCATCACAGGCACGTGGAGCGCCTGCCGTTCGCTTCGCTGAGGCCGCAGTTCCGGAAGCAGGCAGCGCGCTGCCGCCGCCATCGCCGCCGTCGTCCTCGCTGTCGCCGCCGCGGTCGCCGTTGTGGTCACCATCGTCGTCGTGCTAGTTCAAGGGTTACTCGATGTCGAGTGCTGCGACGGCTTCCCGCCATGCACTCCACAACTCTGGTGTGCCAGGTTGGCCGCCGGCGTCGTCGAGCATCCGTGGCACCGATCGCTAGCTTTGAAGTTCCACCGGTACCAACAACATTTGCATTTCACGTTTTGCTGCTGCTTCTCCCCACCGTCAGTTCACAGTGAGCGGCCAGCCAGGTCGAACTGGCCGAAGACAGAGGGGCGCCGAACCTTTTGGGGCGGGCCAGGGAAGGGCTCGGGTCGGGGCGAACTGACCGATGTTAGAAAGTACTCCGCGGGAAAGCGGTACCCATTGGGTTCAGCGAGAGCTTCAAAACCTTGATTCCAAGGTGGCTACGCAGAAGTAGAGACAGATAGAGCGAGAAGGATTTTCAGGAATAGAGAGAGAGAGAGAGAGAAAGAGGAACGAAGGGAGAAAGAGAGGACGAGAGAGAGAGAGAGAGAACGAGAGAAACAGAGAGAGAGAGAGAGAGAGAGAAAGAGAGAGAGATAGAGAAAGAGAGAGAGAGAGAAACAGAGACAGAGAGGCAGGGAAGGTACGAGAGATGTACATACAGGCTTGGGGGAGACAGGGCGGCTGCCAGAGGATCTCCTTCGGCCGGAGCAGTCCGCTTCGCAGCGCGGCGAGCAGCGTGCGCAATGCCGAGTGCGACGCAGGTGTCGGGCCTCTGCAGCGTTCACGAGGAGGGGGGGGGCCGTCTGCCTCCAAGGTATATGCTCATCGCTTGGGCGCAGCCTGCTCCTGGGCAGCGCCCTGGCCGTGCAGCGCCGGCTTGTCGTGTGCACGCGGTCAGGACGGGGAGCGTCGCCGCCCAGCCTGGGGAGATGCAGAGGCTTCGGCTGCGAGAGCCGCGCCAGGTGGACGAGTTCACACAGAGGGTGCCGCCCCTCTTGCCTTTCAATGCGCCGCTTGCTATGCCGGTGGAGGAGAGAGGTGAATGACGCGGCGGCAGCGTGTGCAAGTCCGTTGTCGTCTGATGGATAAGCCCGTCGTCGTCTCATGGAATGGCAGAACAATTGTTTGACGTCGGTCATTTGGCAATCGGAGGAAGGATGAACGGTGCGACGACTGCGATGGCCAATCCCGTCCCCTCCCCCCTTGCGCAATTCTCTTGTCCTCGTCTTTCCTCCGAGGAAGAAGAAGCGGAGCGGCGATACAACCACCACCACCGGCGAGCCACCTTTTGCGAAGATGTCCACCATGCATTGCCGAGCTGTGTGGCACTGGGAGTGCGGATCCAGTAAACGTTACGAGTGATCGTGGCCATGTTAGCTAGTAGGCTGCGTAATTTAAAAGTGATCGTTGCCTCGGGAGCGTGGATCCATTTTACTACGCAAGGGATCGTGGCCAGGAGAGCGCGGATGCAACGTAATTTCTAAGTGGTCGTGGCCTTGGAAGCGCATCGCAGGTTGAATTTGCGAGGGATCACAGGATCACACGAGGCCAAGGATCGTAGCGAGCCCACTAGGGGTTGGTTCGAGGACCGTTCTGGGGTCCGGGGCTAACACATTACTTACCCTCGATCGTCTACATCACGAACGGCTTCACATTTACGCTAATGCAGCATGATACTCATAACCTGCCTGCAGGCCCCACACGGGGGCCGCCAGATGAGCTCAATATTTCCAGCGTTGGACAAACTGACCATGACAAATCACCAATCTCATGAAGCGCAGCTGCCAGATGGCACGATGGCACGATTGCACCATTTGAGAACTGGTACGAAGGCATGATTGAGCAGCACTGGAGCTGTTGTGGACTCCTGGGTTGACATTGGGAACGTTGGTGTCTCGACCAGCGTTGTGCTTCAGCTGGTACCGCAGTCTCAAGCCGATCTATCATTCTGCCTCATAGGAACGTCGAGCGCGCAAAGACGCTGAGGGCAACGTTAGCCTGCACGGTGAGAACTGTATGTGTTAAGAAGTGGTCCTTCATGGACGTCAATGGTAGCCCTGAAACACACAGTGTGTAACCACCTCTCGCTCATGGTTTGTTAAACGCCGTAAGCAGACATGTGCGGCGTCGGAGCAGGCGCACGAGTTTGAGAGGAGCCGCGCTCCATCTGGTTTGTTGTTGAGGCGGCAAGCCGCAAGAGCGTGCTCTGCTCGTGTGGGGAGGTAGCACACGAGGCATGGTCTTGAAAAGACATCGCCAGGCAGAGGACGACGATGAGGATGGGGAAGACGAGGAATCTGCTGACCCGTGTCCTGCTGGGGCCACCGCGATGGCGACGCATGTGACATGTGTAAATCCTAATCAGACTGGCCCCCCAGGGGCCAGAAGCTCGACGCTCTCGAACACGAGGCCGACGTGCTTACTCCCGTTCTTCCGCCCCCGGGGACGATTGCGAAGAACACGAATAATAAGAATGAGAAGAATAATAATACGAATGCTACGAAGAAGACGAATAATAATATACATGAGAAGAATAATACGACGACTCATACGAACAATACTACGACTACACATAATAATAAAACGAATCGTATGTATACGAATACGATTAAGAATGAAAACACAACTAAGAAGACGAATGCGAATAATGATACTTTCAATGATAAGAATAGTACGCACACTAATGCTAATATCAAGAAGAATAAGACGAATTCGAAGACGACTCAGACTAAGTACTGCGAATAATAATGATAATACTACTAATAGCAGAGAACGAATGCGAATACTAAGACGACGACGAATAATAATAGTAATACTATTAATAATAAGAAGAAGAGGAAAACTAATAATAAGAGGGGGAGGAGGAGGAGGAGGAGGAGGAGGAGGAGGAGGAGGAGGAGGAGAGGAGGAGGAGAGGAGGAGGAAGGGAGGAGGGGGATGATTGGGGAGGAGGAGGAGGTGAGGAGGAAAAGGAGGAGGAGGAAGAAGAAGAGGATGAGGAAGAGAAGGAGGAGGAGGAGGAGGAGGAGGAACAGGAGGAGAGAGCGCGAGGCCGACGGCGAAGGTTCGCTCCGCCGAGCCGCGCGGCCGCGGCCGCGCGTCGTCAGGGGTCCTGCACCGCATGGCCAGGACCCCTGTCCACGGGGGCCCGCCCGAAGGCAAGGCCCCCAACCGTGAGGAAGCCGACCTCCGAGACGGACTTACCCATGCCGTTCAGGGAGGCGGCCGCCCGGCCGCAGCGAGGCGGTCGAGGTTGCCCTGGAGCGCCTGCAGGTCCGCCGCGAAGGTGTCCCTGCACTCGGCCGCGACCGCGGCGCCGCCTGCTCCCAGAGCAGGCGTCGCGCGCGCCGCCGCCGCCGCGCCCCAGACCTCGACCGCATCGGTGTCGGTCCTGCGGATCTGCCGTCGAGGAGCGGGCGGGGCCACGCCGGGGCCGCGGCCCGCCACCAGCCCGTCCGCCCACTCGTCGTCCAGCTCCTCCTGCATCTCAGCCGGCTCTGCAGCGGGCGCAGCAGCGACCTCCAGGAGACGGAGGCCCGCGGGGGCAGGCTGCGGGCGGCGCTGCCGCCGCGGCCTGCGACCACCCCCCACGGCGCCGTCCATCTCGGCGTCACCGCGCGTCTCGCCGCCGTCGGCGCGAGCAGCGTCGGCCGCGGCCCCGCCGCAGCCCGCAGCGCCGCCGCCACGACCACCACGCCCCCGTCGCCGTCGCCGCCTCCCAGGGGCAGCAGCAGCGCCAGGCGCGGGCGCGGGCGGCGGTGTGGCGGGAGCCCGAAAGCTCGCCACCGCCGCGCGCAGCAGGCCCTCGGCGGCCCGCAGCAGGCGCACTCCCGACTGGGAGTGGCCCGCCGCGAGGCCCGCCGCGGCGTGCGTCGCCAGGAGCGCCCCGCGGGCTGCTTCCTCGGCGACGCGCTGCTGCGAGAGCGCACCTGGCATTGCCCCGCAGCGAGCGCGGCGCGGCCGCGGAGGAACAGGAGGAGGAGGAGGAGGAGGAGGAGGAGGAGGAGGAGGGGAAAGGGGAGGGGGAGGGGGAGAGGCAGGGGGGGAGAGGGGAGGAGGAGGAGGAGGAGGAGGAGGAGGAGGAGAAGGACAAGGAGGAGGAAAAGGAGGAAAAGGAACAGAAGGAGGAAATGGAAAAGGAGGAGGACGAGGACGAGGACGAGGACGAGGACGAGGAGGAGGAGGCGGAGGAGGGGGAGGAGGAGGCGGAGGAGGAGGAGGCGGAGGAGGAGGAGGAGGAGGAGAACGAGGAGAAAGCGGAGAAAGAGGAGGAGGAGGAGGAGGCGGAGGCGGAGGCGGAGGAGGAGGAGGAGGTGGATGAATACTGATTGTAGTAACATTGCTACTACTATGAAGTCCAAGAGTATGACTAATACGCAGAACAATAATACGAATCACAATGTCAACACTATGGGTAATACGAAGAAGATGAGCACGACGCATGATATTAATAAGGCGAATCCGAGTATTACGGATGCGACTATCAACAATAGTAATAAACATAACATGATAATAACGATACTACAAAACATAATAACACTCATACTAATAATCATATCGATACGACTATTAGTGACAGTGCTACGACCAATGATACGCATAATCGACAGAGCATTAATACGACGAGTACTAATAATACTACTAAAACGAAGGATACTAATATCATTTATAACGATACGAATGCGAATACTAATACCAATAACCACCATACAACATCTGATAGTCTTATTGTCAATATTCGTAGTCGTAGTACGTATACTATGTCTAATACTATTAGTTGGAGAATAATAATACGAATAAAAAGAAGAATACGAACACGAATGCTAATATGAATACTCGTACCAATAATAATACGAATAATCGTGGTAAGAAGAATACTCAATAAGAAGAAGAAAAAAACGAGGAGGAGGGGGAGGAGGAGGAGGAGGAGGAGGAGGAGGAGGAGGAGGAGGAGGAGGAGGACGAGGAACCGGAGGCCGACCCCGCCTTGCGGGGCGCGTCGCCGAGGTGTACGCTGCCGTCCGGCCGAAGATGATCGACGGCGCGGCGGGGGCCCCGGCCCGTGCAGCCCAGAGCGGGGGGCATGGAGGGAGGGGGAGGGGGGGTGGGGGCGGGACGATGGTGGGAGGGGTGGAGGGAGGGAGGGGAGGAGGGAGGGAGGGATGGGAGGGGAGGAGCAGGAGGAGGAGGAGGAGGACGAGGAGGAGGAGGAGGAGGACGAGGAGGAGGAGGAGGAGGAGGGGGAGCAGGAGGAGGAGGAGGAGGAGGAGGAGGAGGAGGAGGAGAGTGTGAGGGGAGCAAGGGGAGGGAAGGATCGAGTGCCGATCCTTCCGCATCTACTTCCTCGTTTTCCTCGGCTTCCTGGCGCTGCGGACCGGGTGGCCCGCTGTCAGCTTGACCTCGCCGGGAGAGGAGAGGTGGTTGCGGGATGGGTTCCGATGGTGGGATTGTGGGCGCCCCTGGCTTGCCGAGCGGAAAGGCAGACGTGATTGTAGTGGTCGGCTGACCGAGCTATTCAGCGCCTACAGAAGGAACTCGAGGAGGTCCAGCAGTCTTGCGACTGTCTCGTCTCCGCCGCGAAGGTCATGTTGGGCGCTGGGCCTGACGTCATCGATCGGCTGACGCGGTTTCTATACGCGCCAATGTCGCAGGGCCTTGCAGGCGTGGCACTCTCTCGAAACCAGAGGGGGTGCGCAGGGGGTGGTCCCTCAGCGCGGTCTCTATACGCGCCAATGTCACAGGGTCAAGCAGACGTGGCACTTTCTCGACACCGGAAGGGGTGCGCAGGGGGTGGTCACTCAGCGCGGTTTCTGTACGCGCCAATGTCGCAGGGCCTAGCAGGCGTGGCACTTTCTCGACACCAGAGGCGGTGCGCAGGGGGTGGTCCCCCAGCGCGGTCTCAATACGCGCCAATGTCGCAGGGCTTAGCAGGCGTGGCACTCTCTCGAAACCGGAGGGAGTGCGCAGGGGGTGGTCCCTCAGCGCGGTCTCTATACGCGCCAATGTCGCAGGGCCTAGCAGGGCTGGCTCTTTCCCGACACCAGAGGGTGTGCGCAGGGGTTGGTCCCTCACCCCCGTGTTTTCATACGCGCCAATGTCGCAGGGCCTAGCAGGCGTGGCACTTTCTCGACATTGCAGGGGGTGCGCAGGGGGTGGTCCCTCACCCGGGTGCCTATACGCGCCAATGTCGCAGGGCCAAGCAGGCGTGGCACTTTCTCGACGCCATAGGGGGTGCGCAGGGAGTGGTCTCTGAGCGCGGCCGCTATCCGGTCTGGTCGTCCAGGGCGTAGCGGGCGTGGCATTTTCTCGACGCCATAGGGGGGGCGCAGGGCGTGGTCTCTGAGCGCGGCCGTTTTCGGAGCCGGTCGTCCAGGGCATAGCAGGCGTGACATTTTCTCGACCCTATATGGGGGTTGCAGGTCGTTGTTTCTGAACGCGGCCGCTATCCGAGCCGGTCGTCCAGGGCGTAGCAGGCGTGGCGTATTCTCGTAACCTTGGGGGATCCTCTCTTCTCTCCTCCCCCCTCTAGTTTTGACTGGCGTCACCACCGGTATCGGCGGGGCAACGGCCACCGACATCATTCTCACATGTTTCACTTCAGGTTTCACCACTCCAGCCATAATCTAAGTATGTGGGATTCCTCGGTAGCGTACTGCAGGGGCAAAAAACATTACATTACCGGAAAAATCGTTTCGATAATTATTTTTGCGCCCTGTAATGACGTCAGCGGGGTTGGGGGGGGATTTCACGATTAGGATTCTACAGAAATTATGAGCAGGAGTTGGGGAGGATTTGGTAATTGGGGAGGATTCTACAGAAAGGAAAAAGAGGGAGTTGGGGAGGATTTGGGAATTGGGGGGGATTCTACAAAGGAAAAAGGAAGAGTTGGGGAGGATTTGGGAATTGGGGAGGATTCTACAAAGGATAAAGGAAGAGTTGGGGAGAATTTGGGAATTGGGGAGGATTCTACAAAGGAAAAGGAGGGAGTTGGGGAGGATTTGGGACTTGGGGGGGATTCTTCACAGGAAAAAGGAGGAGTTGGGGAGGATTTGGGAATTGGGGAGGATTCTACAAAGGAAAAAGGAGGAGTTGGGGAGGATTTGGGAATTGGGGAGGATTCAACAAAAGAAAAGGAGGAGTTGGGGAGGATTTGGGATTTGGGGAGGCTTCTACAAAGGAAAAAGGAGGAGTTGGGGAGGATTTGGGAATTGGGGAGGATTCCACAAAGGAGAAAGGGGAATTTGGGAGGATTTGGGGATTGGGGAGGGTTCTACAAAGGAAAAAGGAGGAGTTGGGAAAGATTTGGGAATTGGGGAGGATTCTACAGAGGAAAAAGGAGGAGTTGGGGAGGATTTGGGAATGGATTGGGGATTCTACAAAAGGAAAAAGGAGGAGTTGGGGAGGATTTGGGAATTGGGGAGGATTCTACAAACGAAAAAGGAGGAGTTGGGGAGGATTTGGGAATTTGGAAGGATTCTACAAAGGAGAATGGAGGAGTTGGGGAGGATTTGGGAATTGGGAAGGATTCTACAAAGGAAACAGGAGGAGTTGGGGAGGATTTGGGAATTTGGGAGGGTTCTACAAAGGAAAAAGGAGGAGTTGGGGGGGATTTTGGAATTGGGGAGGATTCTACAAAGGAAAAAGATGGAGTTGGGGAGGATTTGGAAATTGGGGAGGGTTCTACCAAGGAAAAAGAGGGAGTTTGGGAGGATTTGGGAATTGTGGAGGATTCTACAAAAGGAAAAAGAGGGAGTTGGGGAGAATTTTTGGAATTGGGGAGGATTCTGCAAAGGAAAAAGGAGGAGTTGGGGCGGATTTTTTGGCATTGGGGAGGATTCTACAAAGGAAAAAAAAGGAGGAGTTGGGGAGGAGTTTGGAATTGGGGAGGATTCTACAAAGGAAAAAGGACAAGTTGGGGAGGATTTGGGAATTGGTGAGGGTTCTACAAAAGGAAAAGGAGGAGTTGGGGACGACTTCGGAATTGGGGAGGATTCTACAGAGGAAAAAGGAGAAGTTGGCGAGGATTTAGGAATGGGGGAGGATTCTTCAAAGGAGAAAAGGAAGAGTTGGGGAGGATTTGGGAATTGGGGAGGATGCTACGAAGGAAAAAGGAGGAGTTGGGGAGGATCTGGGAACTGGGGAGGATTTTACAAGAAGGAAAAGGGGGAGTTGGGGAGGATTTTGGAATTGGGGAGGATTCTACAAAGGAAAAGGATGAGTTGGAGAGGATTTTGGAATTGGGGAGGATTCTACAAAGGAAAAAAGGATGAGTTTGGGAGAATTTTGGAATTGTGGAGGATTCTACAAATGAGAAAATAGGATTTGGAAGGGATCCAGGAATTGGGGAGGGTTCTACAAAGGAAAAAGGAGGAGTTGGGGAGGATTCGGGAAATGGGGAGGATTCTACAAAGGAAAAATGATGATTTGGGGAGGATTTGGGAACTGGGGAGGATTCCACAAAGGAAAAGAAGAGGAGTTGGGGAGGATTTTGGAATTGAGGAGGATTACACAGAGGAGAAAAGATGAGTTGGGGAAGATTTGGGAATTGGGGAGGATTCTACAAAGGAAAAAAGAGGAGTTGAGGATGATTTTGGAATTGGGGAGGATTCTACAAACGAAAAAGGAGGAGCTGGGGAGGATTTGGGAATTGTGGAGGGTTCTACAAAAGGAAAAAGGATGAGTTGGGGAGGATTTGGGAATTGGGGTGAGTTCTACCAAGGAAAAAGGAAGAGTTGGGGAGGATTTGGGAATTTGGGAGGATTCTACGAAAAGAAAAAAAAGGAGGTGTTGGGGAGGATCTGGGTATTTGGGGAGGATTCTACAAAAGGAAAAAAAGGGGTTGGGGAGGATTTGTGAATTGGGAAGGATTCTACACATGAAAAAAGAAGAGTTGGGGAGGATTTGGGAATTGAGGAGGATTCTACACAGGAAGAAGGAAGAGTTGGGGAGGATTTGGGAATTGGGGGTGATTCTACAAGGGAAAAAGGATGAATTGGGGAGGATCTGGGAATTCGGGGAGGATTCTACAAAGGAAAAAAGAAGGAGTTGGAGAGGATGTAGGAATTTGTAAAGGATTCGACAAAAGGAAAAACGAGGAGTTGGGCAGAATTTGGGAATTGGGGGGGATTCTACAAAGGGAAAAGGAGGAGTTGGGGAGGATTTGGGAATCGGTGAGGGTTCTACCAAGGAAACAGGATGAGTAGGGGAGGATTTGGGAAGTGGTGAGGATTTTACATCCTTAGAATCCTCACCACTTCCCAAATCCTCCCCAACTCATCCTTTTTCCTTTGTAGAATCCACCCCAATTCCCAAATCCTCCCGACTCCTCCTTTTTTTTCCTTTGTAGAATCCCCCCCAATTCCCAAATCCTCCCCAACTCATCCTTTTTTCCTTTCGTAGAATCCTCCCCAAATCCCCAAATCCTTCCCCAATTCCCTTGTTTTCCTGTGTGAAATCACCAATTCCCAAATCCTCCCCAACTCATCCTTTTTCCTTTTGTAGAATCCTCCCCAATTCCCAAATCCTCCCCAACTCCTCCTTTTTCCTTTGTAGAACCCTCACCAATTCCCAAATCCTCACCAACTCCCCTTTCTCCTTTGTAGAACCCTCCTCAATTCCCAAATCCTCCCCAACTCCGTCTTTTTCATTTGTAGGATCGCCAATTCCCAAATCATCCCCAACTCCTCCTTTCTCTTTTGTAAAATATTCCCCAATGCCCAAATCCTCCACAACTCCTCTTTTTTCCTTTGTAGATTCCTCCCCAAGGCCCAAATCCTCACCAACTCTTCCTCAACTCCCTCATTTTCCTTTTGTAGATTCACCCGCAATTCCCAAATCATCCCTCTTCATTTTTCCTTTGTAGAATCCTCCCCAATTCCCAAATCCGCCCCAACTCCTCCTTTTTTTCCTTTGTAGAATCCTCCCCAATTCCCAAATCCTCTCCAACACATTTTTTCCTTTTTGTAAAATCTTCCTCAATTCCCAAATCCTCCCCAACTCCTCCTTTTTCCTTTGTAGAATCCCCCCCCCCCCAATTCCCAAATCCT